TTACTGTAGAAAATAGGTCAGACTGGAAAAATTTCAAGCACCAGAACCACACTTTACACGAGTGTGAAATGTTTGAACGGATAAAGGGAATGGCACAAAACAGTCAGGTATTTTGGGGTGAATCGTGCCAAGCCTGTCAATTACATATCCCCGAATTATTGTTGAATTCGTGATTTTTTATGTATTGAAGGACCAGAATTATTTAGTCCCTGTGATTCATGTTTAAAGCTGCAATGCATACATTTTCCTCAGGAGATCAATAAAGCACCATTTCATCTTTGAATTAGGCTAAAATTCTCACAAGAAATCCAATCTGATCTGACACGCTCATTCTCTGAGCTCTAATCTGAGTCTGTGGGAATTAAAAATCTCCAGAAGTGTGAACAGTGGCGCTGAGTGTGACTGTGGTATTTTTAGGAGGAGGTTCGTCCCCAGGACACTGTGTCTGTAATCGGGGGCGTAGCTGGAAGCAGCAAACAGGGGCGCAAAGCTGCATGGAAATTTGTTAAGGACAACTGGGAAGAACTTCATAACCGTTACCAGGGCGGCTTCCTCATATCAAGACTCATCAAGGTGAAACAAGTGCAGTACACAAATAGAATGCAACAGTCCGTAAATTAAGATGGGAAATACAGTATTAGACCTAATTTATTGATTATGTATCATGAATATATGTTTTGTTTCTTCACTGCAGCTGACAGTGGATGGGTTTGCAATAGATAAAATGGCTGCTGAAGTTAAGGTGAGCATCATGTCACTTATAAGCAGCGTTGTCTGAAGTCAAGTCAAGTCACTGTTATTTATACAGCACTTTTTACAATGCAAATTGTCAAAGCAGCTTTACAGTATTAAACAAGGAAATAGTGTGCCGTTCTCTGTTTAATTCCAGCAGTTTAATTCTAGGTGTGTAAAGTGAATGTAAATGCATTTTCCAGTTATGTTCTGCTTTTTAAAAAGACTATATATTGCACTTAGGTTGAGTAAACGTTGCTTGCATTTCATTTGAATTGATTCTTTTCAGTAAAGCAGTGGAATCAGTTCACTAATCGCAATGATTTATTAGTGAATCAGTCTTAATATGAATGAGTTTTAAAAGTCCTTGTACAGTTATCATAAATAATGGAAAGATAATGTAAATTCATTGTTTAAACAAAGTATAAATCTGTTAATATAATGTATGCAAATAAGAGTGAAAATTAATATACAGTCTCATAAGAAAAAAAAAAGTATGCTTGAGTTTTACTCTATGTATGACTGTTGCCTGACAAAATATTAAACAAAGTGGTATTTACAGCAAGAAACATTAATAAAGTCTCATTGGGTGAATCGCATCAAACCTGTCAATGTTGCCAAAAATCAACTATAGAAATTATAATCATATTGTTTAACATACATTTTATATTTTAAATATGAATATATTTGTTTAATATTGTTGTATTAGCTTTTATTATATTTTGTAAAACTTTTTTTTTTCTGCTTTAAAATGTTTTATAGACTAAATATTGCACTTGGTTAGAGTAATTCTTGTTCTAGAAAAAAATTTTTTTAGAGTAAAACATTTTTTTTTTTTTTTTTAGTTAATGACATTAACCCCGTTATGCACAACACAAAAATAAATAAATAAAACTAAAAATAGGCTTGATTTTCTTCACATGAATATGGTCTCATATCTTTCTTTGATTTTGAAATCACCCAGACATTTCTTGACAGACTTTGTGAGATTCACCCATATGACTGCTGGATGAATCCACCGATAAAATATTTGATCTCCCGTGAGGAAATACACAGGAAATGATTAGAGAAGGATGTCTCATAAACATCTGACTAGAAATACAAACTGAGAAGTAAGTGGGACATGTCAATGATTCATTAGTCAATCAGTCTAAATTTTGTTGATTTTATAAAAAAAAAAAAAATTAATATACATTACTAGCATTCAAAAGTTTAGAGGTTTTAATGGAAATTATTGGGCAAGGATGCTTTAAATTGATCAAAAGTGACCATAAACGCATTAATGAAGTTACAAAATTCTATTTCTGTTTTATTTCAAATAATTGCTGTTCTTTTTATCTTTCTTTCCATCAAAGAATCTGCAGAATTGCAGAAATAAATGACATTTTAAAATATATTAAAATAATTAAAAAATGGTTATTTAAAATGATATTTCGAAATATTCCTGCCTTTACTATTTATTTTCAAGAAATATAATGCAAGCAAACATTTCAAGCAGGAAGTTAGTTTGGTTTCAAATGATGGAGCAATAGATGTCCTGTTCAAAATCCAGATAAAATGCCTTGTGATACAGTTTGAAAAGAGACCGATAAGCACTGCAGGTTGCTGTTCTGAACTGAAGCGTTGGTGGTTTCTCTGCTTTCAGAGTTTCTTTGAAAGTCATCACGCGCCAGCGGCCGAGCGCACGGTACAGCAGTGCTGCGAGAACATTCTCCTGAACGCTACATGGCTCAAGAGAGACGCAGACCACATCCACCAGTACCTGCTGCAGCGGAAAGCGCCCCCCGTCTGACCTCTGACCCCTCCCTGACCTGCTCACTCACTCCCAAATGAGCATCATCTGGCTATCTTCAGCAAAAACAGAAACGATTACAAAACTGCAACTCCATCTTAAGAATTACCCAAGAGTCAATCAAGAGAAGTGAGACTAGGAAACGAGAACGTTATTCACTCCTGAGTGTAACGTAGTTCCCCATTCTGCCAGCGGGAGGCGCAAGTGCACTCGAGCAGAGCTGTGACTGAACGCAAGAGATTCTCCATGTTATTTTATTATGAGCTGGTAATGCATGTACACACGTGGTTCCCTCAGTATGGCGCTCCTCTCATACAGTGGTATTATTACGCAATCATCTCTCCTTCCTTACATTCACAGATAGAAAAAAAGCAAGCATGACGTTGATATGCTCAGTTTTAAATGTGTGTTTTCTTTTGTTCTGTACAAACGACGATCTCCTCCTGTTTTATCAGTAATGGCTATATACGCGTTTTACCCATAATCCTCGGCGGTGTGACTGGGCAGAATGGGGGTTAAAGGTTGGAACGCACTGGTGACTGAACAGACTCTATGGTAACGGCTCTGAATCCCATCGTTAGTAACGGTTAGGACTGAAGACGCATAAGCATGGTACTGTGTGTATATTGTAAACTGCGAGCATTAGTTCTGAGACCTTCAATTATTCTCAAATGTGATTATATATACATATGTATGATCTCTGATCTTTGCCCTTGTCTCCTGTATGTCACTTATCACCTTATCTGCAGCACTTCCACTGGTTTGTACCTCCAGAAACTGCGAAAGAAATTAACACAATGGATGATAAATTACAACAGTGTCATTAGCATTGGCCAGGATAATACAAAGATTTTATAAACTTATTATTTTACTGTTGCTGAAATCGGAAATAGCATTCGGGACTAGTTTGGGACCCAAAACAATTATGATTTTCAAACTCGGGAGGCCTTAAATTGGTGAACCTGATTTGCGTAAATGATTATTCGCTGACATGCAATGGGCTCATATTAGTGTTGTTGATCAGCAAACCAACAGACACAGAGTTCATGATCATCAAATTCGGTCGAAATCTTTCCCTGACATGTGCTTTTGTTTAAAATACAATTGATGTTCATTAAAGAAGGTGAGAAAAAAGATAAACGATGGGCACAACTGTATTGTGGGAATGCTGTGTTGGATTTGTACATGTGAGGTATGACTCTTCATGCTCTTATATTTGTGTGCATTTTGTAAACTATATACAGATGAACATGTATCCCATAAATGTAGACTATGCCATAGAGGTTCATGCAGTTCAAAAACGTGTTTCAAAAACAGCACTTGTAAATAATGATTGAAATCATGTGCAGCAGGTACAGTGGGAGGAAAGACCAGGACTTTGCTCAGTTTTGGGACACTGAAGCACAGATGATGAAGATGATGATGATGAATGTTTACCTGTGTGTGAATAGATTGATGTTGGGAGCTTGTGTTCACTGTGTGCACCATGCATACTAAGACTGACTGTGACCGCAGAGTTCAAACATCAACGATCATGAGGGTCTGATTTCACAAGATTTTCATTGCAGTATTGCCGGAGACAACATAGAAACTGGGCAATAAAGGAAATCACATCTGATGCAAGAGAGAAACCTTGTGCGATGGATTGCTTGCGTTTATCAACCGGTTGCCAACTCTCGCGAGACAAATAAGCAACCGCAGCTTTAAAAACAAGCCCAATATTTTTTGATAATTTATCATCAATATTATTTATTGCCAATAAATGAGCCTACAACATATTAAACTGAAACTACCCTTTCATCTGAAAATCAAAAACAAGTTATTTTAGAATTTATTTTAGAACTCATTGAAGAAAAATCACGTTCAAAAAGAAGGCGCGTGGGGAGGGGACGGAATATTTGACAAATTACGCTGCAGCACTTATATTATTGCACTGGTTGGCTATTAACTGCGAGCAGACAGTGTCATTCAATGCATTGGAGAATACGGCGAACATAAATAAAGAAACGAAGTTGCTTGTCAGGTTTTCCTAACAAGCAACCATATTTTTTTTTAAAATAAGCCCAAAAAACCGCGACCCGGGATTTTTTCACGCAACTTTACAAAAAAGGAAGCCCAAAGTCGCGTATAATACGCGGACTTGGCAACTCTGTTATCAACCTATTGGAAAAGACATCCTTACAGCTTTAGCACGTTAGCTGGTTTCTTGTCAATCAAATGCAGTCGTGAGAAAAAAAAAATGGAAATAATAAAATCATGGTGAAGATGCAGGTATGAAATATTTTAGGAATTGTTGTTTGATATAAAATGATTCTTAAAAACATCATTCCACTCAGGTCGGGTTTCAGAATCAAGTCACTGAGGGTGCTCTACGTCTATTTTGACATACTGTATATTTGTTTTATTCCATTGCTATGGCTATCGCTCTCGCTTTAGATACTGTAGTACCTCTCCTCTCCACCGGTGGGCGGCGCTAAAGTCTGATTCACACATGTTAGCTATTTTTCAGGTAAACGAAGGAGTCAGTGTGACAAGAACATGGCGATCTCCATATGTAGGACGTTGAAATACCTTCAACCGACAACGTGTCAGAATATAAAGGTATGAAATTAAAATTTGACTTCAGCGGGGCGCCTTTCGCAAATATACAATGTGAATGTGCACATGCATGCTGAAATGATGTTCATCGAGTGTCAACTGGAGACTTGGGTACATATTATAAACGCTTCAGGGATTTATTTACCTGTTTTCCCAACACTTTTCTTTTTGTAAAAGGTCAAATATACATGTAATCTATACTCCTTTATTGTCAAAATCTCTCTCTCTCTGGTGTAATCCAGTGCGCCGCGGCGCTGCTGCCGCAGCCGCTGTTGGTTCCGATCCGCACAAAGAAGCGCTACTTCATTCCTCCAGCGGTGAATGTGAAACAGAAAAGCCAAAGCGAGCAGGAGACTAAAGCCCGGGCTGCTGGTGTGGTGGTCCGGCAGCAGTACATAGAGAGAGCCATCAACATCTCATGCACAGGTACACATGTCAAACTGCTGTCATCGCCTGCACATTTACAGGTAGGTGCATCTCAAAAAAATTAGAATAACGTGAAATATCTTTTTTTTTTTTTTTGTCTTTCATATATTCTAGATTCATTACATGTAATGTAAAACATTTCAAACAAATTTTAATTGATTATTAGAGCGTACAGCTCATAAAAGTCAAAAATCCAGTATCTCAAAATATTAGAATATTTCCTAAGATCAATAAAATAAAATAAAAGGATTTGCAAAACAGAAAAGCTCAAGTTCTTTAAAGTATGTTCATTTATGCACTCAATACTTGCTCGGGGCTCCTTTAGCACAAACTCCAGCATCAGTGAGGTGTGGCATGGAAGCGATCAGCTCTCCATAAAGCTTGTCAGCAGATGAAAGCATAAAGTGCTTAAATCCTCTGGTAGACGGCTGCATTGACTTTGGACTTTATAAAACACAATGGACTAAACACCAGCAGACGTCACGGCACCCCAAATCATCACTGACCTCGGAAACTTCATGCTAGACTTCAGGCAGCTTGGATTCTGTGCCTCACCAGTCTTCCTCCAGACTCCAAAAATTGACTTTTATCTGAAAAGACGACTTTGGACCACTGAGCAACAGTCCAGTTATTTTTCTCCTTAGCCCAGGTAAGATGCTTCTGACGTTGTTTCTGTTTCAGAAGTGGCTTGGTAGCCCCTTTTCCTGAAGACGTCTGAGCGTGGTGACTCTTGATGCACTGACTCCAGCTTCACTCCACTCCTTGTGAAGCTCTCCCAAGTGTTTGAATCGGCTTTGCTTGACCGTATTTTCAAGCTTGCGGTCATCTCTTCCAGTCAACTTTGCATTTAATATGCTTTGATACAGCACTCTGTGAACAGCCACCCCTTTCAGTAATGACCTTCTGCGACTTACCCTCTTTGTGGAGGGTGCCAATGACTGTCTTCGGGACCATTGCCAAGTCAGCAGTCTTCCCCAATATTGTGGTTTCAAAGAACACGAGATACCCGGGATTTATACTGTAGGGATGGTCATTTAATGAAACTCAAATGTAAATATTCTAATATTTTGAGATACTGGATTTTTGACTTTCATGAGCTGAAAGCTCTAATCATCAAAATTAAAACAAAAAACTTTTGAAATGTTTTACATGTAATGAATTTAGAATATATGAAAGTTTCACTTTTTGAAATAAGTTACAAAAAAAATAACTTTTTCCACGATATTCAAATTTTTTGAGATGCACCTGTATATGTAAACTCCTCCAGAACAAAGTCTGGACTCACCTGCTAATTCTTTAGTCAGTAATAATACATTTACTACTACTGCAACTAATAATAATAATAATAATATACTTTTTTAAGATACGTGTACATTGGCACAATTTACACCAGTGTCAAACCTTTAACCATAAACCTTCCAGTCAATGGGTTTTTAAGATCATTATGTGAAACATTCACTAAAAGTTTGATTCTTGTATGATTTTTATTTATTTATTTGTATTTATTTAAATGTAGCACAGTTTCCACAAAAAACACAAAGCAGCAAAAAATATTTTCAGTGTTGATGGAGATCAGAAATGTTTCTTAAGCACCAGAGAAGCATATTAGAATGATTTCTGCAGGATCATGTGACACTGAAGACTTGAGTAATGATGCTGAAAATTCAGCTTTGCATCACAGCAATAAATTACATTTTAAAAATAGAAAACGGTTATTTTAAATTGTAATAATATTTCACAATAGTACTATTTTTTTTCTGTATTTTTGATCAAATAAATACAGCTTTGGTGAGTATAAGAAAATGCAAAAACATAAAAATCATAAAAAGACCGTTTTAGCACATCAAATTTTGTAATATGCTTAGTATTTTATTTGGAAACATCTTCTCTGAAGTCTTGAGCATTGTTCTTTAGATGTTTAGATGATAAACCAACATCACTTGTTTAAGAATTTTTCACATTATGGTTCTTTTTCATATGTGATTTTGTTTTTGTTTTTTTCAGCGGGCATCTTTGATCCGTACGTTCCTCCTGAAGGAGATGCACGCCTCTCCACGCTGTCCAAAGAAGGTCTGAAGCAGCGCACAGAACAGCTGCGTCAGAGCGCAGCATCACAGCTGGCGTAAGCACCACCGAAGCCTCAGCGACTCTGTAAACGTCATACTTCAGATGCTGATGTAATATTGGTACTATTTTCTGTTTGACCAGGTTTCGTAAAATCAAGGACCACGACCCCGAGTTCTCCACTAAAGAGTTCCCAGCACTAGCTCAGCAAATGTTCATAGATGCTCATGCAGCACTCACACAGTAAGAAAGAAATCCTGTTTTATCAACAATAGTTCCTGCTTCAAAGTTTTACTGTCTTTTCCATTTTTCCCACTTACAAGATCTGCATTAATAAACATGTCCTCTTTTCCTCTTCTCAGATTTAACAAAGAAAAGCTTCATTCTTTGGTGACCGAGAGGTGTTACCCTGTAAGTAAATCTGTATATGAATGAACTGTCAGAATTCACAATTGAGTTAGTCAGCTTATTATTTTAACCTGGTTTCAGACTCCAATCAAAACTATGTAAATATACTTGAAATTAAGTAAAGGTTAACTGAAGTAAAACATAAAAACCCTTAAACATATTTTATTTCAGCTAGTTGCCAAAGCAACATTTCTCATTTTCATTTAGTTCAACTTCATTGACCAAAATAACTAAAACTGAAATAAAAAAATGAATAAAAACTAAAAGACATACTAATTAGAATATATGTGTATAATCAAAATTGCTATAACTAAAATAAAAAAAAGCTAAAAAAAGAAAACTAAATAAAAAAATTTATTTAATAGTATCTCAGTGTTACTAAAATAACATTGACTCCAATGTGTCCTTATTCAGCATTTCAGATTGTCCAATGTGTGTGTGTGCATGTTTTGCAGGAGATGGTTCGGGGGAACCGTTATAAGACTCTGCGCTGGCGCTTCATCGAGTCACTGGAGCCGCCGCGGGTGGTCCATGCAAGGTGTCCTGACATGATCAGCAAGGGCAACCTGTACGGTCAGGTGACTCTCCGTGTGCATTCTAGACAGGTCAGTGATTTAGACTAACAATTGTGTGTAAGAGTGTGACTGCATGGGAGTACTCAGATTTTGGGCTCATGATACCAATCCATCTCTCAGACATTGGCAATCTATGACCGCTTTGGTCGGTTGATGCTTGGGGATGAAGATGAACCCAGGGACGTCCTGGAATACCTAGTGCTGGAGAGGCATCTGGTCAACCCCTATGGGCGCTGGAGACTCCATGGCAAGATTGTTCCAGCATGGGCTCCACCAAAAGATCCCATTATTAAGGTAAACGAATAGGATCAAGGAGAAAATGTGGAATGTTTTAACTAAGACTTCACATCTGACATTTGATTTCAACAGACTGTCGTGATTCCTGGTCCTACGCTGAAGCCTGAGGAGGAGTTTGAGGATCTGCATTATCAGGTACCAAAGCCAAAGGCAGTGCAGTGGTACAAGTAATTCTGAATGTGGTGCCTTACTCCATCCAACACAGATCCACTCTGTACAGACTGATTCCCAATAATTAAAATAAATATTGCTGTATTTATAAAAAAAAAAAACTTTGGTTGTTGCTTTTTTTTATTCGCATTTGGCACTCTCAAATAACTGTACATGCACATATAGACTTGTTATACGCGGTAATCAACATGGTGTTACTTTCAATAAACATGGAACTTGATGAAGATCAACACCTTGCATTTTGCAGTTTAAACGTTTATTTCAGAACACTCAAATGACACATTTTTAAGAATATAAAAATAAATGTTGCATTTTTTACATTGACAGAAGTTAATGTAAACTTCCTTTGGCTACTGTTGAAACTGTTGGTTCTTACAAAAATCTTACCTCATACAAAAGCACAGTCTTTATGTTCCTAGTTTGAAAAGCTGACATTGCAAGTTCTGTCAAAATGATAGAATAACTCGAAAATAAACTCAATTATCGAACTCTGGTAGGAATTACAAGTGCAATCTAATGGTCATTACCTGTGCTAATATCTGTTATCATTTTTCAGAAGCAGCATGTAAATAGGTTGAATTAAACATGTAGACAAAATTTGTGTTGTAAACCCTGAACATTTAATTTCACATCCTCCATATAAGGGGACTTAAAACTGTGTTCTATGAAACATCCTGTAATTAATGTTAAAACGAATCAAATTTAATCATCATATTTTTATACATCAAGAGTAGTTTGCCCTAGAACAATATTAGATTTTTTGATCACACATACTGTCTGTGTTATTATGTAATTTCACATAGTATAATGTAAAGTGTTATGCTTTTTTTAAATGAATACTTTGTAGATGGGCTCCTTGTCAGAAAAATACAATGGTGCTACCCTGTAGATTTGTAAATTAACCAGTTTGAAAATGCCTTATTTGAGACATGAAACATGCTACAAAATCCTGTTAAATTTGTTAAAGGAGTGGTTGATTGCGATTTCACTTTTTTAATGTTAGTTAGTGTGTAATTTTGCTGTTTGATCATAAACAATATCTGCAAAGTTACGAAGCTGAAAGTTCAATGCAAACGGAGATATCGTCTTTTAAAATTCTGGCAGTTTAATGCCTACAAAAACGACTGGTAAGGGACTACAACAAGTAACTTCCCGGGTCCGTTACGTGTGAAAAATAATGCGTTTTTGAACAAACGAAGCATTAACACATGTTAGACTGCACCCCATAAACACAATCAAGCCTATAAAAAAACCACCCCTTTAAGTTTGTTTAAACCATTTGTGTAGACCAAAGAGCTGTTAAACATGAACAACTTTTAAGACTAGCAACATTGGTGTGTATATCAGGACAGCTCGTCTATTAACTTAGTTACTTAGTAATATTAGTGCAGTGTTTTTTTACTGAAAATGTGTTAAATCAGACTTTCTAAATGTTCCACCCAGGGTATGTTGGTGACGTAGGATTTACGGACAATATAATCTACATAGCCATATGAACACAAATACACACAAAACAATACCAAATTAAACAGGGTGTTTGTGTTAATGTAAGGCCAAAAGGGAATGTGCACAGGAGAGCAGTCTGTCTTAATAGCAGTCAGTCTTCAGATATGGTTTGTTAAGCTGAAGAGGGAGAACATTGGCATAGGTGGAATCCTTTCTTAAATAACGGTCAGTGAAGTGTGCTGATGACATTAGAGGGACATTCTGCATAAAGCTGAAAAGTGTGACCAGTGGTCCATTTTGTCACAATGAGTCTTTCAAGCTGTATAAAGCACAATGATACTGCCCTCGCAGTTCACAAGTCTGGAGGGAAGATGAAGGCCTCTGCAGCAGTTTCTGCATCACCATCATCTTCCTCTGGTATCGCCTCCTCCCAAGTGAAGACATCTAAATGATCATGCACTGTTATAGATTCTTGTCTGCCCCCTCCCATATCCCAAGGGCACAGTGCATCACGCCGAGCCAGAGGAGGGTTAACTCTCATCTCTTCTGCTGTCTGTGTGCCTGTGTCTGAAGGGTGTATCTCACTTATATCTGGGGCATTTTGACTTGTGCTGCTTTCTGTTGCTGGTGGTGTTCCCATATCATTTTCCCTGGGACAGACAGATTCTTGAGCACTGTCTTGCCTTTTTGAGGAGATGGCATGAGTGCAGTCTTGTGGCACAGATTGTTTGGGTGATTGTTTTGCCTCCCACGGACAGGCATCTGAGTAGACACTTTCTTGTTTCTGGAGGGTCTTCACTGGCTCACCTGTATCCCATGGACAGACATCTGCAAGAACACTATCTTGTTTCTGCAAAGCCTTTGTTGTCTCTCCTGTTTCCCAAGGACAAACATCTGCCTGGACACTTTCTTGCTTTTGCAGGGTCTTGACTGGCTCACTTGTCTCCCATGGACAAACATCTGCATGGACACTTTCTTGCTTTTGCAGGGTCTTGACTGGCTCACTTGTCTCCCATGGACAAACATCTGCATGGACACTTTCTTGCTTTTGCAGGGTCTTGACTGGCTCACTTGTCTCCCATGGACAAACATCTGCATGGACACTTTCTTGCTTCTGCAAGGTCTTGACTGGCTCACCTGTTTCCCATGGACAAACATCTGCATGGACATTTTCTTGTTTCTGCATTGTCTTTGCTGGCTCTCCTGTCTCCCAAGGACAAACATCTGCATGGACACTTTCTTGCTTTTGCAGGGTCTTGACTGGCTCACTTGTCTCCCATGGACAAACATCTGCATGGACACTTTCTTGCTTCTGCAAGGTCTTGACTGGTTCACCTGTCTCCCATGGACAAACATCTGCATGGACACTTTCTTGTCTCTGCATTGTCTTCGTTGGCTCTCCTGTCTCCCAAGGACAAACATCTGCATGGACACTTTCTTGTTTCTGCATTGTCTTTGCTTTCTCTCCTGTCTCCCAAGGACAAACATCTGCATGGACACTTCCTTGTTTCTGCATTGTCTTTGCTGGCTCACCTGTCTCCCATGGACAGACATCTGGATGGATCCTTTCTTGTTTCTGCATGGTCTTCGTTATGTCTTCTGTTTCCCAAGGACAAACATTTTCACGAACACCTTCTTGCTTCTGTAAGGTATTGACTGATTCTTTTGTCTCCCATGGACAGACATCTCCACAGACACTTTCTTGTTTCTGTGTGGTCTTCACAGACTCACTTGTTTCCCATGGACACACATTTACATGAACTGACCCCTTGTTTGTAGCTCCCACCTTCTCTTCTGACCTCCCAGAATCCTCTGCTTCCCACGGACAAATGGTTGCTTTCTTAGGCATGGTCTCTTTTAAAGACTGTCTTGTAGCGTCTTTTGTATTTGGCTCAGACTCCCAAGGGTTTACTTCAGTTACAGGTGGGGGTGGTTCAGGAAAATCACTTTCATCTCGTTTCAGTATATAACTTGGTTCTTCTGAACCTGCATCTCTCTGCATCTCTTGGTCTACTGAACTTTGTCTTGCATTAACATAAATTACCCTTTCACCATGTTTTATTGAGTCACTAGAGGTTTTGATGGATCCCTGTCTAACCTGAGAGATATTTGTGTCTAGTACATAAGAAGAGCATGCTTCAGGCTTCACATTTACCTGCTTCTGGGTGTCTTCAGACATAGGGACTTCAACATTGGTATTATATATATTGTCTTCAGTGACTCTTGATGGCTCACCATCTGTTTCCCAAGGACTGACATCAGTATGTATGCTCTTGGTTTGCAATTGCTCTACTTCCACAACCTCCCAAGGACAGACTTCAGAAATGCTGGTTTGATGAAAAGGTTTTGGGACATCCCATGGACACACTTCTGTATTAGGAACAGCCAATAATGATTTCAGTTGAAACTCAGGCAGTTTGAAGACATCATTACTTACTGTCGCAGATAGTACTTGCTTGTCACTATATTGTCTTTGTAATACACTGTCATTCAAATTCTGCTTCCTGACCTCCAAGACCACCTCCTCTGACTCCCATGGACAGATGTGAACTGGAGCAGAATGTTTGGGACTCCTTTCAGGAGAATCAGTAGATGGCAACCGTATTGCTGTTTGTTTGACAAGGCAAGGTTTTGTGCCTACGGTAGTCATAGCCCGTCTGTGTGTCTGAGGGGTACGCTTGTCTGAAGCTGCACTGCCTGGGTACAATCTCATGGATGTAGACAAAGATTTCTGTAGTGTTCCCTCCCTAACATTACTTTCTTGTAGGCTTTTCTCTCCGCTCATACTTCTTCCAACTTCTCCAATGCCTTTTGCTGCAAGGAGACTTTGGGTAGTGGAGCGGAAAGAGAAAAACTGAAAGTCCTTCGGCTGGCCGGAGATTGTGTGTGGTGACCCTGGAGCGCTACAGGAGATCAGAGGCTTGGGTTTTGTGGAATCAACATCTGACTGAATACCATTCCCAGTTTCTGTTGCAGGAGGAGTAGGAGGTGGCAAGAATTCCCATGGACAAACATATAACATCGTTGGTGACGAGGTAGCACCAGGTGATTTGGGTTCTTCTTGTTTCGAAATGGAATATGTGACATGTTTTTGGTTCTTGTTTGCAGGGAGCTCCTCTGGAACCTCCCACGGGCAGACCTCGGCCTTGTCAAATGACTCTGAGAGCAAGGCACTTGAAGTCTGCCTCTTTATATCAACATCCACAGTTAGCTGGGGTTTATCTGCTGGGGCAGCTTTGCCAGCAAGCGACACATTTCCAGTGCTTCTACAAGGAGTCACAGAGCGATGGTCATTGCGTTCTATGACACTAAGTGACTTTTGAAACCTGCTGGGCTCTGGAAGTAGAAGGTTAGTGTCTACCGATAGATTGTGGGCACTGGCAGACTTGCAGACCAGCAATGTTGCGTTGATGGATCCTGAGTCGGAATGCAGTGAAACCCTTTTCTCTTTGCTACTTATGGAGGAGTTTAATAGGGAGACCTCCCTTTCTGGGGTACAATCATAGGCACTATGGGACTTCCGCATCTTTGGAGAGGGCTGCATTAAAGTTTCATTCATCTTGTTAATGCTTGTGGTCTGATGGCTTTTGTAATAAGATCCTGATCGTGTTATACTTCCTATTGCAGCATTGACATCCTTATCTTCACGACTGCATTGCCTGCTTAAACTTTCTGGGATCTCACTGATCCGTTTTATAAGGGACCGTCCAATGCTGAGGCGAGAACTGCGCTTCTTCGGAAGGTGGGGATTGCTGTTTGCCATCCTCTTGGTCTTGTGGACTTCCAGCTGAGAATACAGTTTCTTCAGCTCATCCTGGTGCAGAGGAGAAAAATGGTTTCAGTTGAGGAAAGCTGGAGGGAGCAGTACAGTAGGATGGTTTTTGTGATGGTATGTCCACAGCATGATGTTCAAGAGGCACCTAGTTATAGGGTAGTATTTCAGAAGAGGGCAAGTAAAGGCAGAGGAGGAGGAGAAGACCAACATCGGTAATAATTCTGTAATTTTTTTAAAGTGATTTTTAATAATAAAATTGCTCAGGACATGTTGGCTCATGGGGACCAAGGTTTGAGTCCAACCTGGGTCTTGTCCCAATCCCATTCCCCTCTCTCTCACCCCTTGCTGCACTCTTTCCCATAAAATAAAGACAAAAAGCTAAACTAGCTTCTTTTATCTTGTCATTATTATGTTTAGTAAATGTTTATGAGAAGTTAGTATCAAATTTTAGACTTAGTTTATATGAGTTCATTTACTGTAAAAGAAAAGGTCAAATTTATGCTTTTTATGTAATTCATAAGTATGCAATGCCATAAAGTGTTGGTGTGTTTGATTTTCTTAATATGGAAGTGTGAGCATGTGCGAGTTAGTAGGGCTGCTGCAGGGCAAGGTGTTTTACCCGAATGTCATCAGGGTCCAGGCTGTGGTCACTCCAGCAGTTAGAGTTGACACTACTGTTGAGGTAAGAACACGAGCGTCGCAAGTCCACCTCCTCCTCATATACTTCTGCAGCTATTTCCTCTCGGCCGGGCCGAGACATGTGGAGAAACTGCAACAAACACCAATGCTGATTTTTGCTTGGGACAGGGCTACATAACATTAATATGAGAAATGTGTGATATGTGCGCAAGTTTATCAGAAAGTACTTAATAAATAGATAGAGGCTGCATTTATTTTGAATACTTATGCTATTTACTGAAAGTTAAACATTGCAAAAGTAAACAATGATAATCTCGACAGTACCTTGGGTACAAAAAGCAGGCCGAGCGTTACAGTAATTGTGACATGCGTGTGAGTGAAGAACAGCAAGAGCATCCAGTCGGGATGAATTGATGGTCTTGCAAATCTGAAAGATACAAAGACAAAGAAGTCAATAGGACAACCTCTTATGATTAGTGTTAAATAAGAACAACTTTATTCCCCCACCTGAAAAGATGGAACGCGGAGGAGAGCAGTAGCTCATTGTGGATTGCGATGCTCATGTAACGTGGTTCGTGAAATGCTGAAGGTACCGTCTTCACTGCACTGCACAGGAAACTGCCCCAGCACAGAAATAACAGCTCCGCTGAGAGAGAGAAACAACTTTGTTAACTTTAAAGCTTTTATTTGTCACATACACAAATATACACAACAGCAATAAGGCAGTGAAATATCCTGCCTTTGTCTTTGTCCTTTTTATGAAGGGAAAAAAGGTGTAAGGACAATTTGACTTTTTTTTTTATTTGACTTTTTATTTGTATTATGTAAATCATAAATATCAAGTTTTCTTAGGGTTACTCCATTTGGTCCAAACGAAAGTTGCTTTTCCAAGGTCGAAATATAAATTTTGAAATAAATCGCATGGTTATGAGGGTTTATGGAAGTCCTCTCTGTGATATAATTTCCTGTTGTATGGTTTGCTTGTCAAATGAAATAGTTTTGACTACATGCCGACCAAACTTATTTCTTTACCCAAAAACGTTACTCTTTAAACAAGACTTAAATAAATAAATGTGATCTACAGACAGTTGCATCAGTTCTAACTTTGAGCCCAGTGTTGCTTTTTAATGTAAAAAATATACATTTATTATTTGTTGTGGTGTGTTATTAGTATGGTAGGTAGTGGTTAATGCTGAATCATATCCAATGACAGCGGTTAACGGTGTTCAAATCATCAGCTAAATGCTTCAAAGAACATTCAATTAAATTATCCAGGACCATTCATCCTTTCATTTGTCTGATCTACTAATGTGCCCCAGTTTCAGTTAATCTCTCTGCCAGACACTCAAGAAAACCGATGGACTACTGCCACCGGTCAAAAATTACATCACTTGCCCACAGCCATCATGTAGTCCCACCGGTCCAGGTCGCAGACATTGAAGCCTTGTCCTTCTGAGGTGGTGGAAATGATCAGCAGTGGAACATTCCTGTCTCGATTCTGAAGGACGCCCACGGTCCACGCACACAGGAACCAGCTGACAGTAAGCACTATAACTCCCAGCATCCTCAGCACACCTGTGGTAGTGATGTATGGCACTCTCTGGGCCGTACGCGACAGAAACACCTTCAGAACCCTGGAAACACATGTGACCATTTAGGCTGATTCATTTTGGGAGTTTCAGGTTTATCAGGTATTTTTGCCTTAACAGGTATCCAACCTCTGTTGGATCCAATCATGTGAACTCATTTGTAGCCTAATAAAAGCAGTTTTATTTTACATGGAATGGGCCAACTCATGGAGGAACATTATGAATATTGTTATTAGGGGTTCAAACGCGCAGTGCTGAAACCCTATTGTAATTGATAGAATGGCCAAGGATCAGCATTCTTCACCTAAAAGTGATCGGGCAGACCAAACCGTAAGTCGCAGAGACTTGAAACTTGGAGGGATGGTAGTACTCACACCATCTACAATGTCACCAAGGCTCTCCCCAATCGGCCTGACGGTGGCGCTACACCAATCAAAAGTACGAAATGGCTCATAACTCATAAACCGTTAAGTGCCTTATATTGTTGGAATCCTTGGCTCACAGTGGACAAAACGCACAAAATTTGTAAGATTAAGTTTAACTTTCAACTCATCGTTGCGACGGGATGCCAAAATGTTCGAAAGGGGCGGAGCTACTTTTACTAAAATGCCTATAACTCTTGAGAGTTAACTGAGATATCTTCGCCCATAACGGCTATAACTAGTCCAATCAACTTGAAAATTGGTATGCAGTGTCTTTGTCCATAGTGTCACAAGCATCTATGAGGACATATGCATATTTAAAAAAACATGGCTGTCATCGGCTAATGAAATTTGAGCACCTATTAGACAAGGTTAATGGAAGCTGATTGGAACAAAACTCAGTGGGCCTGTTTGTCTCTTGGCCCTAAAGGTCTGTGACAAGTTTGAAAGAAATCGTCCAACGGGTGGTGTTAACGAGTTTTACGCCTCTGTAATCACGCAGCATTTCACATACAGAAACAATATACCATACGATAGACCTCCTCACTGTGAACAACTTTGCCTCAAGAACCACTGCTGTTTGTTTGCTGTTGCTGCTGATTGTGAAAAACCTACTTTTGCGAACTAGTCTTAGGTTTTTTGCACATCCTCTAAAAACCACAGCTTCTCTGACTCTCAAGGTCAATAATTATCAAAAAAAATTGATCTTTACGCTTTGGTTAGCTATAACGGGGTCATTTTTAAAAAAAATGGGCATTACCAAATATTTTACACAGAGCGATTCAAATCATTGTACTATGGAAGCCCGTTTCCGCCACTAAATAAAAAATAAAGGTAATTGTGACTTTTTATCTCACAATTCTGACTTTTTTTCTCGGAATTACGAGTGACACGCAATTGTGAGTTATAAAGTCAGAATTGCGTGATATAAACTCGCAATTGTGAGTTATAAAGTCATAATTGCGAGATATGAACTCGCAATTGTGAGAAAAAAAAGAAAGTCAGAATTGCGACATATAAACTCGCAATTGAGAGAAAAAAAACTAAGAATTGCGAGTCTATATCTCGCAATTCTGAGGAAAAAAGTCAGAATTGTGAGATAAAAAGTCGCAATTACGTTGTTTTATTTTTTATTCAGTGGTGGAAACGGGCTTCCATATTGTACCGACATGCTGACATCCTAAATTGATCAACTAATTTTATAAGCTTTTTTATAAACAATTAAGTTTATCTTTATCTCCTGTGATGCATAGCTGAATTTTCAGAAGCCATTACTCCAGTGTCACATGATCTTGAATCATTCTAATATGCTGATTTGCTTCTTATCAATTTTGAAAACAGTTACTCTGCTTAATTTTTATTTATTTTTTTTGCATGGAGCGGCTCAACTCGTCCTGGTAGGCAGCCTGTTATTTCTAGAATGGCAGCAGGACTTCAAAAACACAAATGAAATTACTGAGTGAATTTTTAAATGCCTTGAGATAGCATCTTATTTTGCAACATTTCATCTGACGGATGTGCAGGTGAGACAGATGGAAGGGAGGACTGAGTTTGATAAATCTCATATGACAGGACTGAAGTGCTACAGACCGGTACATCTTGAGCGTCACAGTTCCATAAACAATGGCGAAACCAAGCAGACGGACCCAGCGGAGCAGAATACACCGGAAAGTGCTGGGTTTGAAGTATAAAATGAAGACCTGAAAACACAGTTTTTTATGCTTGTAAAAATACAGTAAATACAGTAATATTGTGAAATATGTTATGTAAATATGTATTGAAATAATATTTTAATTTTAATTTTTAAAATATATTTTAAAATGTAATTTATTGCTGTGATGCAAAGCTACATTTTCATGATTATTACTCCAGTCCTCAGTGTCACATGATCCTTCAGAAATCATTCTAATATGCTGATTTGCTGTTGAAGAAACATTTATCAATATTGAAATCAGTAGTGCTTAATATTTTGCTGGAAACTATGACTTTTTTTTATCAGGATTCTTTGAATAGAAAGAAAAAGGCAGGAATTTATTTGAAATAGAAATAATTTGTGATATTATTAATGTGTTTACTGTCACATTCAGTATACTGTACTTAATGCATCTTTGCTAAATAAAAGTGTTAATTACTTTAAAGAAAAATCTTACGCAAACTTTTGAATGGTGCTGTATTAGTCAGCAAATGTTTAAGAAGGTGTTTCGTGTTTTAACTTAAATGTGATTTTGTTTGCATAATAACCTCACTTATATCCTAATTCATAGTTTTGTAGCATAATTACTATAGTTAATTTGTTAGATGCTAATTTGTTATTGCAGTTGGTTAACCTAGTAACAACCATAAATTGTGTAATTTTTGATCATTTTCTGCCTTCTAAGTGCAAGCCAGCCGTTATGATTTCAACTGCAGTCCAGTAATCTGAAAAGAAGATTTGAATCACACACTCACTGGGAAGTAAAGCAACAGAGAGCCACACAGGATCATCTCCAGCAGCAAAAGCCCCGACGATCGGATCCGCTGAGAGATAGAAAGATGGAGAGAAGAAACGGGTGAGAAGTGGAGAGGGGAAGCTGAGGTGAAATTACTAAAGCTGTCAAGCATGCATGAAGTTTGTACACATGTGGGACCTGTTTGAGAGTGTGTCTGAAATGATGCATCGAAACACACAGTACCATAATATGTAAGATATATATATATATATATATATATATACAGTATATATATATATATACAGTATATATAGCATATCTGAT